AGAACGCAGCGGTGCCTGCTCCGCCGCGTTGTATCATCTCTCTCAAGGCGAAACCAACGCTTGCTAATGGGATCAGCCGTGTCGAGGAAGACGAAGAGGAAATCGACCCGGTGATTGCCAAAGAGTGTGTGGATACACCGTCTAAGCTCTCGGCTCTTGGATCTAGGGTTTTGAAAAGGGTTAAAGAGGAATATGGATTTACCGACTTTCTAGGGTTTGTTTGTTTGGGTGGATTCGAGAATGTGAGGGCTGTTTACGACTGGAGAGGCGTCAAACTTGAGGTTGATGAGACTAAGTATGCTTTTGGGAACTGCTATGAGATCGAATGCGAGACAGAGGAACCAGAGCGCGTCAAGACCATGATTGAGGAGTTTCTTACACTCAACACAATTGAGTTTAAGGATTCCGACATGACAAAGTTTGCTGTTTTCCGGTCAGGAAAGCTTCCTTGACAGGGTTAGTCTCCCTTCATCTCACTAAAAACTATGCAATTAGTCTTTTCAAGTCAAGCTACTGCTCAGTTTGTTTGCTAGCATCTGTATGGATGGTCTATAACACTCCAGCATGATGTCTGGGGAAGTTGTTTGCTTTGTCTTTTCATATTGAATATACTCTGTAATTCATATTGGATAAAGTTATGTGCAATCTTCATAGCCATGCTTTGATGAGCCTCATACAGTATTGGTTATCTTGTCTGGTTCCCTAAATCTAACATAGATGTGCTTCGAATAGGTCTGAATATGAGATGGGAGAAAAGGTGGCTCTGATTAGATGAAGATGCGAATCTGGTTTCTCGGTTCACGGATGTTGGTCACCAGCCGTATCAAATTTATGTTGATTACAGTAATGTTTACTATGGAACTGGATGATCTCAGTTTCTTAAGGCCGGTTGATGTTCTCTCCTGAGCCTGAATTGTGTCGAATGGTTTTCTTTTTGATAAAACAACTAGTATGTGATGTGAATTTTTACGTTTGGGTTTAACGCCCTCGGTGTTAAATAGAACTTTCTCATCTTCTCTTACTGTTTTCTTCCAATTAACCAAACGCATATGCAGAAAGTACCTAGCGACAACAATCTAAACTCATAAAAGGTTCAGACATGTACGATAACTAAAATCCACATTGGAAAACCACACATGACAACAAAGAGTCAGAACAGGGACGATGAAATTGAATGAGAGGATGCTAGATTTCCCTACACTATGGAAACCAACACAGATGATCCCCTCTTTAAGTCTTTAACCATCCAAAGCTAAAACACACACATAAGGCGCCTTTTATCTCATATTTTTCATTTTCTCTTCTTAGAAGGCGGCTGGCGAA